TATATTAACCTAATAATATATGACCCTAAAAAAATTTGGAGGCGATAAAGTCACCACCCAAGTTACCCCATCTATCGGCCTCTAAGAAAGTGAAACTACCCCACAAGCTAATATAATGAAAATAAAGCTAGAACCTAAACTGTATAGTTGCTACTCACTTGCCCGAATTTTAAGCTTTTCATAGTTTCGTATGTTCAAGTAAAACATAGATTAAGGGTGTGTTCGACACGGAGCGTTTGGAAGCGTTTGAGAGTTTCTAGCTTCTAGCGTTTAACAAAACGCTTCGTTTTGAACAGAGAGGGTAAATTTTTTTAAATATATTTTTCATGCACCAGCAATACTTGTTATGAATTTATCCGCCCGTCCCCGATTGAATCTTTTTTTTTCAAAGCCCCTGAACTATGGTGAAGTTTGTCTTTCTTGATCCTAGTGTCGTAAAATAGATAAATGCCACATAAATTGTTCTTATTCCATTCTATCAATCTTTGCAACGTCGTTTATACAATGAAATTTTATATATGTATGTATTGATATATTAACTAGTTTATAATCTGTGAGAAACACGGTTACAAAATTAATTATTTTTTTTCAGTAAAAACTAAAAATTATTAATAAATTATTTTAAATAAATTGTTAATTAATAGATATTTATTTAGTTATATAAAATTATAATCGTTTGATATAAATAAATAAGTGAAATTATATTACTTTATAGTATATATTAATTTTATTTTAATATTATTAATTTAATTTAATTAAAGTAACAAATTTGAAATTTGAAATTTAAAAGGAATAATCAATAGGTTGACAACTGACATGATACTAATTAGAAGACTGATGATACTTGACAAAATAAAAATAAAAATATTTTTTTATTAAAGTAGGAAGATTTATGTGTACATACATACTAGATGCGATACTCGTGTACTACACGAGTTTATTAAAAATAAAAATTTAATATCAATAATTAGACATTAAATATTTTATAAAATAATATTTTTCCATAACATAATTTAATCTCTTGGAACATTTATAGAAGAAATCAAATATTCTCTAAAACATTTATAAAATTTTATTATCGAATTAATAGAATGATTCTCTTTCTTTATGAACTCATTAGAATTTTTTGGCATTTTATTTAAAAAAATTGTAAATTCCTAAAAAATAACAAGTAGAAATAATTAGTTTTAAAACCACCATAAAATTGGCAAAACTCTTGAGAATTTGACAAGGCCAAAAAAACACCATTTATTAGAAATGATTTATCGTATAGAAGTCAAAACTTAGTTGTTGTAAGTCAAACTACAACTTTGTTAGAAAGTAGGTTATGTTTGGCGATGCTGTTTTCTTCGTTTATCTTTAAAAAAGTTTAATTAGGTGCATGTGAAGAGAATAAAGGTAATGGTTTGATTTTTTTTACGTGGAAGAGAAAGTATTACATACTGCTTTTAAATCACAATGAGTTGACTAGTTATTTATCGTTTTATTAATAAAGATCTTGGTTTTGATCTTGTTAAATGTTTTTTGATAACTGATAAGTCTTCCTAATCTTTCACAAAATGCAAATCACATAAAAATTAGGGTGAGCAAAAACCGAACCGACTAAAGAAAAACCGACAAAACCACAATAAACCGCAACCGAAAAACCGAAACCGATTAAAAAACCAATGGTGCGGATTTAATTTTTGCAAAAACCAAAGGTCAACGGTGCGGTGCGGTTTCTATCCTAAAAACCGGTCCATCAAAACCGAACCGCACCGCAAGCGTGTATAGTAATAAATAAATCAACGTATATTATATACATTCTATTTAAAATAGTTATAAACGATAATATATTTATTATATGTTTATTTTGTGTTTGTATAAAACTATATGGGGTGCAAAAGAAATGTTCTATTGTTAGTCAAACTTACTAATCGATTACATGTAATAAGCTTGTAACAAATTATGTCAAAATCAACCAACCTTCAATCATTAATTAGTTTGTGAGAGTGGTCACAAGTTGTATTTTAAGCGACTTACAATTTTTGATTATGTAATTTTGTTTTGAGTTGAAAATTAATGTATTAAAAAAACAGCACAATATAAGCTTATATGCACATGGTTTTCAGTTCTTAAAGTTTTAAAAAACCGCACAAAAAAAACTGCACCAAATTCTTAACACGGTTTAAAAACCGAAACCGCATTTAAAAACCGAAAAACCGAACCATTGCAAAACCGCACCCAACGGTTTTAAGAATGCAAAAACCGCACCATGCGGTTTGCGGTTTGGTTTGGTCTGAAAACCGCACCATGCTCACCCCTAATAAAATTAACGATATATTTAATTGTGGATTTTTTTTAGAAAACGTTTTTAGAAAATAGGATTAGGTTCTCATTTTCTTTTTTTAACGAATTTTTTTAAAAATGTGCTTAGTTGAAACAAGCTGAGTTTTCATTTTACACTTTATAATTTTAGAAAACTTTTGGAAAAATGTAAAAAATAACTTTTCTAATTTACATATAATGAAAAAAAATTATTTTCTAAGAATATTTTTAAAATTGAATCAACCAAACATCTTTTAAAAATTTTTATTTTCATTTGAAATTTTACATGTAAAACTAATTTTTTTCCACAACCTAATATAGTTTACATTTCTTTCTGCTACCCGATCTTTGGTAGAAAAGAAAACATTGATTTTTATTTTTATGAAGTTTGGCAATTTAATAGTTAATCAAGTCATGTTTCGAGTTTACTATATAATGATATGATATGGTATGATATTATCTGATTATATGATATTTATGTAACATGATGAGTTGATATTTTTTATGACATGATGGTTAAGATGTATGTTGCTATGTGGTGTCTCATATGTTTGTCTGATCATCCCATCGTGGGCTTCTTCCAATGAATAGTCCAGGTAACACGCTGTACAAAGTTGACAAAGGTAGGTTAGAAAGTCATTTCGAGGGTCGAACCCCGATATTGCTTTCTGGTGCTTAAGTTAGATGTCATATTTAGGGAATGGATATGGGTTAGATAGAATTGCAAAGAGTATGCTTACGTTACTTGGATTGGTTGGAACCTTGCTTTATAGTTAGTGCTCGGACCAGTTCGTGGTTTCTTCTTCTGGGTCTTACGTTGGTCCTTAGGTCGTAAGGGTAAGACTCTTTTATTAATAAATAGTTTTTCCTTTCCCGTATTTCATGAGGATGCTTTATAGGTTGTGTATGGTAATCGTGTGACTCTTGCTATATGTCCTCGATATCGTATTTGTGGCGGTGTTACCAGGTCGGGCCCGGTAGCTAACCTGGTATTATGTGGGTTGTCGTCTATACCCCATTAACCCCACCCCCAGCCTAATTGTTATAAAGTGTTGTCGTTTTATAATAATTGGGCTTAAATGTTCATTGCCCTTCTAACTTATCTAGAATAGTCAATGTACGTTGATTTTCCCACGTGCCTAGATCCTTGTGAAGGCCTATAGGCACCTGAGCGTTTTTGTAGCAATTGGATTTCCCGCTTCTCCTTTCATAAATGTTTGTCACATCTTTGACAATTTTTTGATTCTTCTTTCCTTTCTTTCTATTCTCTCTGTTCTTTCTTCCTTTCGAATCCTCATTCGTATTGGCAAGAGAATGTCTCGTTTGGTTATGCCCGTCTTTCACTCTTACGTTACTCGTGAATGACTAGACCGAATTTCTGCAAAGTATCATCTTATTGATGAAGATGGCATTACCCTTCTTGGTCCTAATGCAATTATCATTCATCCACCATCATGTAAGGTTGGATTTACCTTTATTACTTTGAAATCGGCCTTCGTATGACTCCTTCTTCCTTTTTCATTTCCATTATCAAAGCATATAGGATCCATACTTGTCATTTGAAACCTAACCTGATTTCAAAAGTTATATGCTTTGAACTGCTCTATCATGCCTCGCTTGTTGTTCCTACCGTCACTTTGTTCTAGTATTTTTTTTTCCATATTTGTAACAATAGGTCCTATTATTATTTTCATTCAAGGGGATGAAGTTTCATTGAGGGTCTTCCCGATTCCATCAAAAATTGGAAAAACAAATTTATTTGGTTGAATGCTTCTTGCTTTTCTTATCGAAACGAATTTCATCCTTCTGGAATGATTGATTATCAAAAGCCTAAAAGGACTAGGGATTTGGTCCATAATATAGATAGGATTTCTCGTTTCAATTTTATGATGAAGAAATTCCCTGAAGCCATTTTGGGTCAAGTTGTTATGAGTCTGTATTGGTTCCATACTTGTCATTTGAAACCTAACTTGATTTCAAAAGTTACACACTTTTAACTGCTCTATCATGCCTCGCTTGTTGTTACTACCATCACTTTCTTCTAGTATTTTTTTCCATATTTGTAACAATGGTTCATGGTATTATTTTCGTTCAAGGGGATTAAGTTTCATTGAGGAGGGTCTTCCCGATTCCATCAAAAAATGGAAAAACAAATTTATTTGGTTGAATGCTTCTCGCTTCTCTTATCGAAATGAATTTCATCCTTTTGGAACGATTGATTATCAAAAGCCTAAAAGGACTAGGGATTTGGTCCATAATATAGATATGATTTCTCGTTTCAATGTTATGATGAAGAAATTCCTTGAATCCATTTTGGGTTAAGTTGTTATGAGTATGTATTGGTTGCGTCTTGGCGTTGTTCCATTTTACTTGTCCATGGCCCATGTATTTTCCTTTATGTATGTTGTTGTTACGTGTTTCACTTGTTTATACCGACTCTTTGTTGCTTTTGTGTAGATGGAAGTCGATTACCATTTCTTTTGTCTGATTTTGTTGAGGGTAAGGTTGTAGCGTGTGAACTTGGCTCTGATGATTTTGACAATCCCATTATCAATGATAACTTTACTTATAGTGGTAGCAATGGTAGTAATACTCAAGATCACGAAGAAGAGGATTCATAATCGTCGATTAAAGTGCATGACTCCTATAATGATACAAATGATGCTCGTGCTCCACCCGTTTCTTCTAGGGTTATGGTTATTTCTGATGATGATGGTGATGGTGGGAGTGGTGAACAACCTTTTGTTCGTCGCAAAATAGGTAGGGATTCTATTGTCTTTTCCGCATTAGAAGCTGCTTTTGCTAGTGGTGAAGATATTAGTGATAGGGCTCTTAAGAGGTCCCGTTCCTTGGATCCCGATGCTTTTCATTCTTTTGCTAGTACCCTTGGTGTGGTCCGTCCTTTTTTGTATGTTTCTCAATTGAACGCAAACAATCCTCCCCGTTATGCCAACATTCCTCATCCTTTTGGTCATATTTATATCTCGTCCTGGGAATATAGGCGGGAGCAAGGTTTAATGGATCCAAAGGTTGTTATTCCCTTTTTTTAGAACTTTTCTTCACCAGACTCCCGCTCGAGTGTTAGCTCGTAGAGAACATGGTTTTAGGTCAAGAAGTTATGTCGTGGCTTGACGAAAATGAGACATTGCACTTGGAGAATGGTACCCTTCGAGATGAATTTAAAAAGATATTTGAACTTATAACTATTGGATTAAGGTATCTAAGCCAGTAACTAAATTGTATATTCTTGTAACTAGAAACAAAAAAATCTTTTTGGGGTTGCCCTCATAACTAGAACTTGGTTAGAATGATATTTGTAAAAAGAGTATAATTTCTTAGATTAGTATATGACTGATAAACTAATTAGAAATTATGAGGAAATAATTTGTTGATATATTGTAACGCCCCGATTATCAGGGATGGAAGTAAATGAAAATGTATTTAGTTGAAAGATCTTCTCGACGAGTTGGTTGCCCTACTCGTCGAGTAGCAGTGAGGTGGGATCGCGCATTTAGTGGTCTACTCGCCAAGTCCATAAAGGGACTCGACGAGTAGGAGTTGGCAGATGAAACCCTAAATTTCGGGGTATTTCACCCTATTTAAAGGATCATTGGCCTTCCCCAGCCTCCCCTTCACTGCTTCTTGTCCCTCTAAAGCCTTAATCGTGTGTGTGCTCATTTTCTTCATTCTTAAGCTTGGAGGAGGATTTTCTTGGAGAAAAGGAGCTTGGAGATCAAGCATTCAGAAGCAAGGAGCTTGAAGGACCTGAAATCTATTGTATTTAGCATCTCCTGGAAGGTATAAATCGTTACCCTAACCTCATTCATTCTAGATCCCCTCTTTGGTCAAATTCTAGGGTTTTCATTATATGATTGGAAGCTATTCTTCTTTATAATCTCAGATCTGAAGTTGTAACTTCAGAACAAAGCTCCTTTGGGCTTCTTAATACATAAAGTTTCCAGTTTGTGCAAGAACGAGACTCTCCCAAGGTGTAAAGCTCCATTGGAAGCATATATTAGTCATTTAGGGCCTTTAGAACCTTGCATGTGCATAAAGTTTGCAACTTTACGTGATAAACATACCTTAGAAGCTTGGATCTGTAATCTGGAGCCTTGCCATGGCTTAAAAAGCGTCTGCATGGATGAAGGTCTGCGAGGACTCGGCGAGTTGAATGAACAACTCGGTGATCCCGATGCAGATGGCCATGAACTCGACGAGTTGGATGAATAACTCGGCGAGTCCGTTGAAGTTTGCCTTGAACTCAGCGAGCCGTTAGAAGACTCGGCGAGTCGACTAGGGTTCTCCCAATTCTTGGACACGTATGAACTCGGAGAGTTAAAGGAGAACTCGACGGGCCAATCAAGGATTTCACAACTTCTCGAGTTCACGAAGGACTCGACGAGTAGGTGAGCTGCACTCGACGAGTAGAGTCAATGTAACATCCGGATTTTACCAGGTATCTTGTAAATTTAATTTTGTTGTATTGTGAGGTGGACTCGGCGAGTTGGAGCTTAGACTCGCCGAGTAGGGACGCGGATTTGGACAATGGAGCGCGCCTGGACTCGGCGAGTCCAGGATATGGACTCGGCGAGTCTGCGCTGTGTTATGAAACCCTAAATTTCCGGGTTTGAGGCTTATTTAAAGGGCCTTATGGCCGTCATTTGTGCTCACCCAACCCTCAGAGAGAGACCCTTGTGTTCTTGAGCGAGTTGTGAAGAGAAAGGAGCATTTCTTGACCTTGTATGTGCTATCTAGCAAGAAGAAGGAGACTCTAGGCAAGAGGAAGCAAAGGAGGTTGCTATTTCATGGATTGGGGGCTTAGATCATCCATCTTGAGGTATGATCTCGGACTATTTTCTGTTTGGTGAAGCATTATTCGATTTAGGGCTTGTGATGGTCATTTAAGGGATGATTTGATGCCAATGGTTCCCTCCTTGAGTTGAGGTTATGGATCTGGATCCATAGAGGTCCAGAGAGCCTCACTCATCAAGCTTTATGTGTAACA